TGAGTTCAAGGTAACCAGAGGAAGAAAGGGAGAAAGGGCTTTCTGGCACAGAAAATAGCACATGCAAATGTACCCAGGTTGTCAAAGTGATGAGATTTATTATAGCTGAGGTTTAGGGATGGACCCATTGAGGAATTGCCAGAAATTTAATTAAGGCCAGACCATGAAGAGCTTCAAAAGCCATGTTTAATACAAGACTTGCTCCTAGAGGTGTTACAGAGGTTTGTTGCTGTTCAGTGGCTCAGTTGTGTCTGACTCTTTGCAACCCCATGGACTGCAGCACGCCAGGCTTCCCTGTCCTTCACCAGCTCCCGGAGCTTGCTCAAACTCATGTCCATCAAGTCAGCAATGCCATCCAACCACCTCATCCTCTGTCATCCCCTTCTCCTCCTGCCTTCAATCTTTCCCAGCATCAGAGCTAACAAAAACTTTTAGTACAAGACCAACAGTCCTATCAGTTTCATATTCTGGAAGATAATTCCAGCAACAGCAGACCTCCTCATGCCAGCCTTTCCACGTTCACCTCTCCTAATATGGTTATTGGCGCTTCCCTGGTGGCCCAGCAGTGACGAGTCCACCTGCCAGTGAAGGAGAATCGGGTTCCATCCCTGAGTCAGGAAGATCCCCTGGAGAAGGAAATGACAACCCACTCCAGTATTCTCTCCTGGGAAATCCCAAGGACAGAGGAGCTGGGCAGGCTATAGTCCATGCGTTCACAGAAGAGTCAGGTACAACTGAGCAACTAAACAACAGTGTGGTTATAGTTTTAGATCAATTGGTATCCATAGAGACACCATCAGTAAAGGAGGACCAACGCCAGGGCACTGATGACGGTTTAGAGATCAAGCGTGGGTTAGTTCATACAGAGTGCTGAGTGAGAAGGAGCGGGACCTCTCCTAAACTATTATCCTTCAACCCATCTCAACGGCATGCTGGGCATCACAGAGACCCACACAGTGCCCAGCAGGCACAGAGCCAGCCTCCACGTTCCTTGTTAGTTTAAAGATCATGAACGACTTTAGATATTTATCCAGGCCCCACAGTACCCTTGGCGGGAGGATCTGTGCTGTGAGATCTAGGTATCTGGGGTCCAGATCTCGTCTCTGACCGTCCGTACTCAGGCTCAGCCCAGGCCAGATTCAGTCGCTGCAGCCAAAGGAAGGGGCACGGCAAGCAGTTTGTTTCGAGTGAAGCTAAGACACCCCAAGTGGGTATTTGGTCTCAGCCGCTTCAAAAAGCAGGCAAAACATTTCTTGAAATAAAAATACCAAAAGGAAATAAACCATCCAGGGGAGAACTGGGCTTACATTACATAGCACGTGAAATTTTGAGTACATTGAAAGACATTCTCTTCAAGGAGAGGTATTAACACTGGAGAAGTATGAGAGGGACTGAAACCCCCTTACTTTTTTTGGTGTTTTTTTTTAAATAGAATAGAGAGATTGTTTTTCTTGTTTGGTTGCTAAGTCACGTCTGACTCTTTGCGACTGCATGGACTGCAGCACGCCAGGCTCCTCTGTCCCTCACTGTCTCCCAGAGTTTGCTCAGATTCATGTCCATTGAGTTGGTGATGCTATCCAACCATCTCATCCTTTGTCACCCCCTCCTCCTTTGCCTCAGTCTTTCCCAGTATCAGGGTATTTTCCAATGAGTTGGTAACCTTTTTGAAAGGTTAAATCCTTTTTTTTTTTCTATTGATTCTTTTCATTCAGTAATCACATGTCATCATTTATGTCCCAGGCACTGTGTGAAGTTCGTTGACACAAAGGCTTTTATTCCATGATCTCAGTAATATCTTCAGGTCCACATGTTTTCAAAGGCACCATGATCTGGAAATGGCATAGGGTCCAAGAACTCTCCTAAAAATTGTCCAGTGCTGTGTCATCACGACAGTCGATCCATGTTATCATTTCAGGAAAAAGTTACTTTTTAACTTAAGTTGAAAAAACTGTTAATGTCTTTGGTATGGAAACATGACAACTAGTCAGCACACTAAAATTCACAGTTTGCAGTTTTAAATATATAAAGCCCGAAGTCTTCTTGCAGGAGGGTATGCTCAATATGTCTTTTTCCTTCATCTTAATTCCACTACTCCAAAGAGCTTCTCTGTTTTAAGTGAGTCCATCCTTCTCTTGCATCCGCCTGCAATGCAGGAGACCCGGGTTTGATTCCTGGATCAGGAAGATCCCCTAGAGAAGGATATGCAACGCATTCCAATATTCTTGCCTGGAGAATCCCATGGACAGAAGAGTCTGGCTGCAGTCCATGGGGTGATAGGAGTAGGACGTGATTGAGTGACTAAACCACCACCATCCTTCTCTTAACTCTCATCTGCTGTGATGACCATCCCTGGCTTCTTTATTCTGCCACCCTGGTTGCCACGGTGGCTTCCACTCATGGCAAAGACGGTCACTACACTGAGTCTGAAATGACCAGCATTCCCCAGTGGCCCCAAAAAGGCTAGTTTGTGGAGCAGGTTTTATGGAGGTCAGGGCAGTTACCTTAATCCAACAACCGAAGGCTCCAGAGCCCTTGCAGACAGGCCTGCCTCCATCCTTGATATATGGATTATTATATCAAAAGCCATGCAGTCTCTACCCTGACCACAGAAACACGGATGTATTCAGTCCCGACCCCAGAGGCAACAAGAGCCTCACAGCTCTTCAAAGCAAGGCAGGAAGAAAACCTAAAATTCTTGGCTCTCCCGACTGTTTCAAAAGCAAATAATAGTTATGCCAGTAAAACTGTCATTTTAAGTGAATTTCCTAATATAAGGAAGGAAAACATAAAACTCTTAAGGCTTTTCTGCCAATCTGATTCAGATCAGAGACTGTCTCCCTGGGCTAGTGGGTCTCATTACGACAGGACAGCGGTGATAAAGGAAAGGCGGCACAGTAACTGTTTAATGGACATTTTCCCAGAAATTAAAGGGCCGCTCTTCAAAAGACAGTCACTTTGTGGTGCAGGCCCCAGGGAACTCCACACACGTTGCTGCCTCCGCTGCAAACACAACACCAGGTGCACACAGCGCCAGCCTCTCACGTCCTTTGTTGTGGGGATGAAAGCAGGAGAATGTACTGCTTGCTGATCAAAGCCTTTGACCATCATATAAAACCAATCAAAATGCTCTCCATTTCTCTTAATTTCCTGGATTCAGCAGATGTCATTCCAGAGTGCGGCAGGCAGACAGATCTCTTTCCTCCAGTGTGTGTTCTTTGGCTTTGGGGAGTTTTTAGGTTTGGGTTTGTGTTGGTTTGGGTTTGGGAAGGTTTTTGTTTTTTTGGAGTTTTTCCCCAGTGTTTTGGGGACCTACTAACACACCGTTAACATGGATCCCAAACATTCATGTTCAGTTCAGGATCTAACAGCCTTTTTTTAATGATTCCATTGATAGTAGTCATTTTGACTCGGCCCCTAGGAAAAATGGGTTTTAATTCATAAGGGAAGAAAGAAATATAACCCTTTTATCGCTAACCGCCTCTTCCCAGCCTCTGTCTAAAGATCCAGGATTCCTCACTCAACACCAGAACAAATAGCAGGCTGGGAAAGGAATCATTTTAGCTCAGGCAAGGTGTCAAGCCGCAGATGCTGCCTGACAGTGAAGAATTTCGTCAGACTGTTTGGGTACAGACCGTGAAGAAATAAAAACCCCTGGGGAAGCTTATGTTCAAACTCCCCTTTTCCTTAAACCTGCAATTCAAAACAGTGCTTTGATTTGTAGGTCCACCCGGCAAGATCATTTCTTGTCTTATCATTCTTCTGAAAAGCAAGATCCCAATGCATTTTAGCCCCCTCCCCCGGCCCCTCCACTGAGGATTTATGGGAATCTGTCCCGCGGCAAAGCATTTGTCAAAGATCTAAGGGGCGGGTGGGAAGGATCCTTTACCTTGCCCTAGCTGCTTTTGCACTTGAGACCATAAACTCTGACGAACTCACTTGCAATGCAGTCCTGTTGAAATGGTGGTCACAAGTGGGAGAAGCAAGCCGATATGTGCTGACTCAACATTAAAAAAGTAGTCACTGCATTTTCTGGGTTTAGAGTTTGACCTCAAAAAGGATAGTCAGGTGTGTTTCAATGCAATTAATAACGGACACTGAAGATGTTGGCTATTTTGTGAGTACCAGAACTTTCTTTATGGCTCACTGTTTGGGTGGATGTGTGTTATTTGCATTTTTGTGGTTAATTAATTGCCATGAGGAGTATCCCTGTTTGCTGTTCTCTTTGAGTTTCTAATTTGAGTATAGAACTTTCTGGCAGATTTCAGCATGGATATGAACATCGAGTATAATTTGAAGTGGTATTGCTCTATGCCACTGCACTGGAGTTGAATTTTAAAGTCAGAATAAATAAAAACTGTGAGTGAGGGATCTCCAGTTTTCTAATAAGAGGCTCAAAGGAAAAGTACTGTTTAGACAGCAACCCAGCTGCAGTAAAGACGACAGCACTGGAGTCTATGGGTGGGGAGAGGTAGGAAGCCAGACAACTTGGTCGGTCCCTCTGTGTCTGGAACCTTCCAGCAGGCCGTGAAAGCACAGAGCAGGACACTGCGCCCTTCCTCACAGCCCACTTCCTAAAATAAAGCAAACAGACCTTTTCGTTCTGCAAAGTATTTCAAGCATTTTGGATTTCCTGGCTTTTTTGGTCGATGATTGGAATCGGGGATGCATTTGAAAAGCCATTCCCAGAAACAGCAGCAAAACAGGGACAGTCCTCTTGCAGCGACGTCACCTCCTTTTCTGAAATGGGCACACAGACCAGGCCCACCACCCGGTGCCCGACGACCGGGTGGCACCAGCCTTCACTCCCAGTTTTATTTCTGTGCCTCCGTTGTCTTAACCAGGAGGCCGCTGTGACCTTGACGGCGGCTCTGCCGGCTCCGTCCAGGCGACGGCTGGCCCTTGTGCGGCCCCGCGCCGCCGGTGCCCGCCGGCCAGCTCAGCGGCGCTTCCACGTTTGCTCACTCGGCTTCCCTTCCCTGTCTCTCCTCACGGGTGGGCAGTGCCGGACTGCAGCCGGCAGACTGCAGGGCCTCGGCGCCCTCGAGCAAGGGCAGCAGCGGCGGCAGCAGCAGCAGTGGGAGCAGCTCCTCCAGCGACTCGGAGACCAGCTCGGGGTCCGACTCGGAGACGGAGAGCAGTTCCAGCGAGAGCGAGGGCAGCAAGCCTGCCCACTGCTCCAGTCCCGAGGTGAGTGTCTGCGGGAGCACTGCCGGGCCTCCTCCCAGTGTGGTTCTCACACCTCCCACTCCCCCAGCCTCCGTGGCCTGCAAGCTGCCCTGACCCGTGCAGGCCACCACTCCCAGGCAGCCTGCCAGGGTTGCTTTGGGCTCATTTCCCCCAACCTCCTCCTCAAAGTGCTCCTAGCCACAGAGCTTCCTTTGAGATCTAGAAACTTCATCTCTTACAGTCCAAAAATCTCTATCTTGACTTCCAGAACTTTACAAACATGCTGTAAACATCGCTGACTGGAAATAACCTGAGGATTGGGGTCAGAGAGGCAGTAAGCAGATAGGGCAGCTCCAAGCCCTTGTAAATTATGGAGAAAGGAGTTTTGTGGATTAGACATGGCTCGAATCTTACCTTTTTGCAGTTTGTCACAGATTAGAAGAACACGGGCTATAAGTATAAATAAAACCTTTTTAACTGTGTTTTCTTTGTGAAAATATACAGAGAAAAATTAGCATGAACCTGAAAATAATAATGAAAGCTTTTATAGGTATGATGAGTATCTATATGGAAGTATCTATGAGTATCTATGTGTGGAAGATTTAGGTGCCTCATATAAAAATATGATACGGTCCCGATAAAAGCCATTGCTATTTCTACTTTAAAGGGGAAAATTAAATAGTGATTCAGAGCATGGATCCTTGAGAGAGGACTGAGAACACACTTGTCCAGTTTCTGGATTGGTAAGGGTAGACTTTGATTTCTAAAGAAGGAATAAAATAGACTTCTTCTTAAGTGTACAGACAGTTCACGTTACTGAGGGTCATAGGATTTTTTTTTTTAACCTGCCACCCTCTGTACCACTGCGGGGCCCAAATTTCTAAATAAGCTCTAAAATGAAAACAAACCCACACGTGCAAACCTTGATGGTGAGAGGAGAGCACCTTTAAGGGCCAGCCAGCCTCACATTTCCAGTTTGTGTGCCTATGTCGCTCTCTCTCCCTCCATCTCTCTTGATCTGTCTATCTAGCGATCTCTATCTCCCTGTATAAGTAAGGGAAAGGCCCTTAGCAACATTAACCTATAAAAGCTACATGTTGATATAACCCTGACTTCCCCCAGAAGCTAAATTATTCCTTCTCCATCATTTCATTCATTCATCTGTTCATTCACTCATTTATAGTTTTTCAACAAATATTTACTGAATCTCTGCCACAGATAGGCTTGGCCCTGGGAGACAGCAGTGATCTGACGACGACGATTCCTGTCTACACAGACCTGATATTCTAATGAGAATAATCTGAAACAAACAAGCAAAAAAAAAAAAAAACCAGAGGCATTAACCAAGCTTCTTCAGAGCCAGCTTTATGATCTAATTTGTTGAAAAACTCCAGAATATGCAGTAGAAGAACTGTGTTTCAGGGACATTGCAAGGGTCAGGGGGGACAGTGGCGGTGGATTAAAAGCCTTAGGGTCTGTGAATGAGAGCCCCCATCCCGGGCTCTTCGTGACTTTGAAGGTTAAATTCAGGAATGTTGAATATTATTTGCATGTTGAAATGTGACTCCTGGAGTTTCTAGATGAGGTTTAAACCAGCCTCAGAGAAGCACACTTAAAAAGGTCTCTGAGCAGACTCCCTCTAAATGTCACTGAAATAATTACAAAGACCCGAACTTCTTGGTGATGAAAAGAAGCACCTGTCGTTTCTTCCAGCAGCTATCAGAGCCCCCAGCCGAGGAGGAGGAGGAGGAGGAAGGGAATCTGCTAACACAGGCCTTAGAGTTTAAGTTGCCTGAGGCCATGGGTAGGTTTCAACTTCTGGCTTCTCCTTGCAGAGGGAGTGCAGAAGTGACAGGTGTTGCAACAGAGCATGTGACTTCTCTCTGCTGGAAAGGAATGTATTCCTTGGAATAAAAGTAAGGGGTTTTGGGCTTGTTTTTTTTCTTTTGTAACATTTCTTCCCAAGACGACTACAGACACACGCCCTTCAGAAATACAAGGAGGGAATTCTCTGGCGGTCCAGTGGTTAGGATTCCGTGCACTCCCAAGGACATTGTGGGTTCAGTGTCTCATCGGGGAACTAAGATCCCACAAGCCATGTGGCATGGCCAAAAATGTTATTTTTAATTAAAAAAAAAAAAAGAATTACAATGAGTTTGCAGAATGAACATTGAAAAGAGGGGAAAGAAGCATTACGGGCCGACTCTACGGCAGCCCTGCTCTCCTCTGCCCTGAGCTGGCCCAGGTCCCCTGACATCGAGCAGGGAGACTCGTTTCCCTGTCTCCACAGGACCACCCAGCTCTTCATAGCCACACACCTCCCATTCCACCACAGAGACCTGTTCCTGCTGCTTGGCAGCAAATGTATCTGGCCCTCTTTCCCCTCCTGGAAATGTTCTGATATGAGAGCAGGAGACCCTCATGATGTCCCAAGACACCTGCATTCCCCCCTCCCCCCGCAACGTGCCAGCACTGGGCATCTGCTTGGCTCTCCTGAGTCTCATCCAAGCTGCGTTTCTGGCCCTGGTGGTAGAAAGCCACTGCCTTTCACACGTATCACCATGGAATGAAACCCCTTGTCTGCAAGCGGGCATGGAAGAGACACTGGATTCAGTGTTTCCATTGCTGCAGATCCCATCTCTGTGGCCTGAGGTTTGCTTGCTTGTCAGCAGACTAATTTTTTTCATTTGAGTTCTTTTTTCTTTCTTGGTCTGGGACATCCTCTATACCAGAGCTTGACCAGGGAGTAGGAAGGGGTTGGCGGGGGTGGGGGGGGGACACTTTGCCCCTCCATTAGCACATTTAGAGCAGCACAGGGCCTCCTTAGACCAGTGTTCCAAGTAAAGGGACAACTTGCTATGTGGACAAGAAAGAGCCTGGTCACAGGACTTTATTTTTATTTGACTGCACAGGGTCATAGTTGAGGCATGTGGGATCTTTAGCTGTGGCATGGGAGCTCTTAGTTGCAACAGGTAGGACCTAGTTCTCTGACCAGGGATCAAACCCAGTCCCCCTGCATTGGGAGCACAGAGTCTTATCCACTGGGCCACCAGGGCAGTCTCTGGTCACAGGGTTTTGAGAAGAGCCAGGATAAAGTAGGTTCCACCCATTTCTCTACTGCAGGGCATCGCTCAGCCCTCAACATCACTCATGTAGACAGTGTTCTCCATTGTGGCGTTTCCCAGATATGTCCGACCATGGTAGGCTTTCTTCATGGGCTAAAAACACATTTTGGGAAATGCTGCCCTAGATCATTCTTGAAAATCTTCAAAAATACAAGTTATTCATGGATTCAACAAGCTTCTCCTTAATTAGGCATCTATGGGATATGTGGCAGTGGGTGCTCTGAAGGTTGTAGATGAAATAGAGACTAGAGTATACCCTGGAGAGCTTGTGCATGAATCAGAGGGAAGATTGATCAGAGAGGAGAGTCCTGGCTGGAAATACATACTGCAAGCCAGCAGACAAGCAAAAGCGCTGGGCAGAACCCCACTGGATGGCTCAGACAGTAAACCAGAGCCAGCAGCCTGCCAGGCAAGGAGCCCCAAGCCCCAAGTCTGCCCTCCTCCCGCCACCCAATTCTTGGCTGTTTAAATTTCCTTGGCCACAGTTTTATCCCCCAAAATGGCAGATAATCTCACACTGTCTAATCTGTGAGGTGTTTCTGAGTATGTGACAAACAGGAAGTGACAGCTCATTGTGAACCATTAGTGGCAACAGGGTCATAGCAAGCTGCCCCTCACCTACTGGGTCCTGCGAGGGATACAAAGAAGCAGAAACCTGGCCTCTGACGGAGAGCAGGGTTTGTCTTTGTTGAAGACACAGATGCATATACATGAAACAGGTGTGGATATCAAAAGATGATGCCGTTGAGGATAAAGGAAAGCAACAGGTATTATCTGGAGAGTTAGTGGTGTCTTCTCCAAAAGTCAGATCAAATTCTATCATTTGAAGACCTAACATTTCTCAAATGAAACAAGGTCCCCTTTGCATGAGGCTTCCGCAGAGAGTAATGGGCGCTTAGGCAACACAGCAGGGAAGGAATCTGATCTCAGCTTTGACAAGCGTGGGTTTAGTCTTGCTGGTGCCTGGTAGCTCTTCAGCTTTGGACATGTTACTTAACCTCGCTGAGCCTCATCTAAAAACTAAGGGTGATAGTACCTCTTATCTATGGATTAAATGAGATGATACATGTAATATGGGAGCACACTGGGGGTGTTCCAGCAATGAAAGATGCCTGTAAGATGATGGCTGCCTGAGGAGTTTGGATTTTGTTCGAGAGGCAAGAGGAGGTCATTGTAGATCCTTGAGAAAGGGAACGTGATTTAGCAATGTGTTGAAAATGGTCCTGATTTCTTTGGCTGTGAAGAGCAGAAAAATGACTCTGTGGCACGTGGGGCAGCGGGACCTTACCCCATTGATTAAATCCTCCCCTTGCCGTGAAGACTCCCTCCGGGGAGTTTTAGTGGGAGTCTCACTGTGAGCCGCTGTGTTTTGGCTTCAGGCAAGCATCTGTGCTCTCACATGTAAGAGATGTGAGGTGTGGAAGGCTCAGGACGGTGGGGATGAGGATGACCTGGTTGGGGGGAGTGGGGGTGGTAAGTGGCAGATGCTGCCATAAATGTGTCCACCCTGGCCAGTGTGCACCCCCATCTGCAAGGCGCCTTCAGCGTCCACTCACATTACTGGGCCCCGTTTATCTGGGGAAGCTGAGGAACAGAAGTCACTGACCCAGCCAGGGATCAGAGAGAAATGGGGCTGGGGAGGAGACAGCCCAAAGCCATAAATGTGTCTGCCACCAAATTAGCCTTCAGGGGACTTCCCTGGCGGTCCAGTGGCTAAGACTCTGAGCTCCCAATGCAGGGAGGCCGGGTTCAAACCCTGGTCACAGAACTAGATCCCACATGCCGCAACTAAGCATTCAAATGCCCCAGCTGGAGATCCCGTATGCCAGAACAAAAATCGAAGCTCCCGAGTGCTGCAGCTAAGACCTGGTGCAGCCAAAATGGATAAATAAATACATTTTTTAAAAGTAGCCTTTGATCACCCTCAGCTGACCTCAGGGCGGGCGAGAGTCCCCGCTTGGCACAGAAGCCATTCTGTGTCCTGCCTCCCTGCTTCCTCTGTCACTTCACTGTTGCAGGATGGGCCGGGTCAGGTGGGCTCTGCAGGTTCCATTGTTCCCCGTCTCTGGAGGTGCCACATTAAAGTGAGGTCAGAATTTACAAAATAAAACTCAGGGGCCCAAAAAAAGATTTTATCATTTTGTTTTTTTGCCTCTTGTTCTAGAGTCCTGGTCCGATGGGTGGCATGAAAGCAAATACAGCAGAACATCAAGTCAGAGTCCAGACTCCCTATCAGGGTCATGAGAGAGCCCCCTTCCACACTTGTATCCCATGGGGATGCTCCCCCATCCTCATGGCCCCAGGAGCAGGGCCTGGGATCCCCATGCTGGCCTCCACTGAAATGCCTCACAAGGAGACTCCCACTAAGATTTCCCGGAGGGCGCCTTCACAGCAAAGGGAGGATTTAATCACTGGAGTAATCACTGATGTGCTGCCGGGTCATTTTCTGCTTACGGTCACTGTTGTTCCCAGCCCCTCCACACCCTGTGCTGCGGTTCCCTGAAGTGTAGTTGGTCTCGTCTGTTTGGAGGGAACCAGTAGAATGTCCACAGTCCCTACCATAGGTCCAGTGCCCGCTGTCCACACTCTGTGGCCTCTCCATCCTGGCCCCAGGCCCTGCTGGCCCATTAAAGGCTTCCCGTCTCCCTGAGCTGTGCCCCAGACTCAGCCAGGACCCCTGGGTCTAAAGCACTGCCTGCCCTCCTTGCACTTCGCCTCCCTGCCACTGGATCCTTTCTGCATGAGGCTGTGCCCAAAGTTCTGCTCTTAACACCAACCTCTCTGTTGAAAACCAAATCTTGGCACCTAAAAGCAAGCATTCAGAAGTTATGATGTTAAAGAACAGTGTTTTTCTCCTGCAAGGGAGCCTGACTTGCTCTGGGCTTTAACAAACCAATATGAAATGCAAAGCTAAGCCATTTCTCTTTATTCTAGGAGGTATCTAATTCCACCACCCCCACCCCACCCCCACCTCACCCAGTCATCAGAAGCCATGAATTTATAGAGTGGAGGACATAGGGAAGGAAACGCACATCATCTTAATCATGCCAAAATTTTCCCCCATTTCACAAATTAAAACTCACAAATTAAAAACATTGTAGCTAAAGTTCTATGGGGCTTCCCTGGTATCTCAGTGGTCAAAAATCCACCTGCAATGCAGGAGACATGGGTTCAATCCCTGGGTCAGGAAAATCCCCTGGAGAAAGAAATGGCAACCCACTGTAGTATTCTTGCCTGGGAAATCCCATGGACAGAGAAGCCTGGCCGGCTGCAGTCCATGGGGTTGCCATAAAGTCAGACATGACTTCGCAACTAAACAACAACAAAGTTCTGTACTTATCAATATATATCTCTTTTCTACTAACAATCAGAGAGGCTGATAAATGGACTTTTATTAGAAATCAACATTTACTCCCTGTAAGAGAATCAGTTCTTAACCTTTCAATAAGACATAGATCCCTAGAGAGAGGTAAATGCAAACTATGACCCTCTCTCCCAAAAATGTGTCTACATGACCTTTGACATTCTGTTACAGGGCATTCACTGGCCTCCCCCCTCCCCCAGAGCCAATCTGTGGGTCAGAGTTTAAGACCTGGAATGTCCAGGATTTGCTCTAATTTAGTAAAACTGTTTACAGGAGAGGTTTTCATTGTCACCTCCTCGTCTGAAACATTTCGGGCAAAGTGTAATGCAGGCGGGTTGAGGATGGATGAACCAAATCCAGCAGGGGCCACTCGCCCCCTTTTCTAATTTCTCCCCAAATTGCAAGTCTCACCAAAAAAGTGTGCACTTCAACACTCAAGGTCTCCTAACTACACGCCAGATAACTTTCATGGGCCCTCAAGTTTATGCATGTCTGTATAAATACAAAAAACATACACCGTGTAACACTCAAAAGTGCTGGAAATGGTCCTAATGAGGAGGAGTGTGCCTCTCGCTTCTCAAACTGCTGCCCTAGCATTTCAGGGTGGGGGGGCCAGGAAAGTGTTAGTCGCTCAGTCGTGTCCGAGTCTTTACAACCCCGCGGACTGTGGCCCGCCAGGCTCCTCTGTCCATGGAGTTCTCCAGGCGAGAATACTGGAGTGGGTAGCCATTCCCTTCTCCAGGGGGGCTTCCCGGCCCAGAGATCGAACCCAGGTCTCCTGCACTGGCAGGCAGGTGCTTCACCCCCTGAGCCGCCTGGGAAGCCCGGTGGGTGGACACACCTACTGCTCCCGTGTTCCTTGAGTTTCCAGCCCATCAGGTTTCTGCTCACATACCTAGAGGAGCAGCAAGTCAAGAGGAAAACAGCCAGGTGCGTTTAAGTGAGTCTGTCCTAAACGGTGTTTTGTTTGTTGCGGGTTTTCTGCTTTTAGGCGGAACCAGCGTCCTCTAACAAATGGCAGCTGGATAAATGGCTAAACAAAGTGAATCACCACAAGCCCCCTGTGCTGATCCAAAATGAAAGCCACCACGGGCCGGAGAGCAGTCAGTACTACGCCCCAGCGAAGGAGGACACGCAGGACTGCGGGAAGCTCCCTGACGTCTGCCCGCCTGGCCTGAGAGATAAGGACATCAAGGGCGCCTGCAAGGAGGAGCAGAGGCCGAGGACCGCGAACAAGGCCCCGGGGAGCAAGGGGGTGAAGCAGAAGTCCCCGCCCGCGGCCGTGGCCGTGGCCGTGACCGCCGCCGCCGCCCCGCCGCCCGCCGTGCCTGGCGCGCCCGCCGAGAGCGCGCCCGCGCCTGCCCGGAGGTCCGCGGGCAAGAAGCCCGCCCGGCGCACCGAGAGGACCTCGGCCTGCGACAGCGGCCCCCGGCCCGAGGAGCCCGTGGCTGCCGAGGCGCTGGGGGCGAGCGCGGGGCTTCCCCCGGAGCCCCCCAAGCCCCGGCCTTGCGGCAACAGCAGGACCAACCACCGCAAGGAGCTGCGCTCGGCCGTGACCTGCGAGAAGCGCCGCACGCGGGGGCTGAGCCGGATCGTCCCGAAATCCAAGGAGTTCATCGAGACGGAGTCGTCCTCTTCGTCCTCCTCCTCGGACTCGGACCTGGAGTCGGAGCAGGAGGACTACCCTTTGTCCAAGGCCGTGGCCGCCGCCGCCGCCGCCGCCTCCGGGAACGACCCGAGGCTGAAGGAGGCCCCCAGCAGCATCAGCGGTGGCGGCCCCCGCGCTCCCGTGGGCTCCATCAACGCCAGGACCACCAGCGACATCGCCAAGGAGCTGGAGGAGCAGTTCTACACGCTGGTCCCCTTCGGCCGCAACGAGCTTCTCTCCCCGTTGAAGGACAGTGACGAGGTCCGGTCACTCTGGGTCAAAATTGACCTGACACTTCTGTCCAGGATCCCGGAACACCTGCCCCAGGAGCCGGGCGTCTTGAGTGCTCCCGCGGCCAAGGACTCTGAGAGCGCGCCCCCGAGCCACGCATCCGAGGCGCCCGTGGAAAAGACCTTGCCAAAATCCAAGAGGAAACGCAAGGTAGGCCTGGAAACCCGAGGGGCTGAAGGCACAGTGGGAGGGAGGGCCCTCCCCGAGCTTGTGGGCAGGTCCACTGGTCTGGAATGTTCCAGGAGCAGGAGTTAATGTGTCCTTCTTCAGCAAACGTTCATAAAGCACTTTACATATGCAGCTACTGATGTAAGTGCATAGGAGCCTGCTAAGTCGCTTCAGTCCTGTCTGACATTCTGCAACCCTATGGACTGTAGCCCACTAGGCTCCTCTCCATGGGATTCTCCAGGCAAGAATACTGTGAGTTGCCATGCCCTCATGCCCGGGCATCTTCCCAACCTGGGATCGAACCCATGTCTCCTGCATTGCAGGCAGATTCTTTACCATCTGGGCCACCAGGGGAGCCCAGTGTAAGTACTTGACACATATTAACTAAACATCCTTAGAACCGCCCATTGTGGGAAGACCAGCTATTATTCCCATGTGATAGATAATTAAGGCCTGTCCCACTGCATGTGGAAGTAGGCAATTGGGAAATGTTCACTGAGTGTCTTCAGGGACTGAGCTAGAGGCTGGACCAGTGAGGAAAACTAAACACGGGTGAACCCCATTATTTGCTGGAAGAGGTGGGGTCATTCATTGACTTAAGAAGCCAGCTGCCTCATAGAGTTGAGTAAGGCTGTGCCTAGGGTGGTGAGGCATGAATATGGAAGTGACCAGTGGGGATTGTGGGCAACAGGACCCCAGAAGGGGACCCCAGCCTGTGGCATGGGAGCCATAGGCTGGTGCTCCCCATGGTATTGATCAGAAGGACTTTGTGGTGGAGACAAGCTGGGAACAGGGCCCTAAGCAGAAAGGACTTTTGAGTACTCAGAGGATTCACTGCCAAAGCTGGGAAGCCAGCTGAGCAAAGAGGGATTGAACAGAGTGAAGCGGGCAGGGACTTAAGTGCAGGGAGAGCTGGACAAGGGTCCAGAAGTAGACCCAAACACTTGGCCATTCAGACGTTTCTAAAGAATTTCTGAGCACAAGAATCACTTTATCATAATTTAAAACCAGTTCTGAGAATCTTTACCGCCTCTTGTTACTACATCTTCAAAAGTAACTAGGACTGCAGCGGAAAACACAATGGGTGACAAACCAGATTATAGTCATCATGGATGGCACCAAATTTGGGACAAAATCATTCACAACTGTTAACACATGTATATGTCCCCATGAGGGTGCTGGATCATTTATAAAATCCTTACAACATTATCAGGCAAATATTATTATCATACCCCTTTTACAGATGAGGAAACCAAGGCTCAGAGAGCCTCACGTGACTTGCTGCAGAGTCATGTAGGTGAGAAAGGACAGAGCTGGGAATGAAGTCAGGTCTCTGGCTCTAGGGTCTCCCAATAAGAAACCAGCCGGAGATTTGTGTAGTACTTTCACCTCACGACCCCCGCTCAGAAGACTCCATGCCCGGAATTTAATGCCTGTGGTTGCCATCTTGGAATTCTCTCTTTTATCTTTGAATCTGTCTTTTGTAAGTGAAGGTGATGGGACAATAGAGCTTGCTTGGTCCCACCTCCTACCCGCTTCCCCAGGATGGGTTCTGCCTGCCCCGTGGCCCCTTTGCATTTCTGGCCGGGAGCAGCCTCCCCACTCTGTATCCCCATCCAGGGGGCTGGGGTCAGGATCAGCATCTCCCCACCCTCAATCCAGGCACTGAGGGGTCCCCCAGGAGAGACTCCAGGTGGCCTTGGGGGAGGGGTGATGCCTGACTGCACTTCCTCACCCCTCGACCCACAGCTGGTAGGTGGCAGAAACCATTTGCTGGGCTGCATGCACGTGCCCAGTCTCAGGCCAGCATGCCTGGCATTTGGGAGAGTCAGCACATGCCAAGTATCCCCATGCTTCAAGAAGCACAATGTAAAACAGCAAATAAACACACTTCTATGACAGGTTAAGAGACCAATTTTAAAAGACAGTAAAGTGTCAATTATACAATATAATGATTCAATATTGGTTTACATGTGTTGCAAAATGATGACCACAATCAGTCCAGCTAACATCCATCACTATACATAGTTACAAATGTCTTTTTCTCCTTGTGAGAACTTTCAAGATCTCCTAGCTACTTTCAAATGTGTACTGCAGTATTATCACTATACTCACCATGCTGTTTATTAGCGCTGCACTGCATCCACATGACTTACTTTATAACTGGAGATTTGTACTTTTTGATTTCCTTCACCCCTTCGTTTTGTAACCCCCTCTCCACCCCAGAGTGGTTTGGTTTTGGTTTTCAGATTCCACATTTAAGTGAGATCCTAAGGTCTTTGTCATCTTTGTCATCACAAAGAATCGGACACTACTGAGTGACTAACACACACACATCCCACTCATTTCACTTAGCGCAATACCCTCCAGGTCCATCTGTGTTGTTGCAAATGGCCAGACTCCCTTCTTCCGTTGCATACATACATATGCCACAATTTCCTTCATCCATAGCCATTTATGCTGTTTCCTTGTCTTGGCCATTGTAAATAATGCTACAGTGAACATGGGGGTCTTTTGAAATTAGTGTTTCAATTTTCTTTGGATAAATACCCAGAAGTGAGATTGCTGGATCATGCAGTCGCTCTATTTTGATTTTTTGAGCAAGCTCCATACTGTTTACACAGTGGCTGCACCAACAGTGCACTAGGGTTCATTTTTCTCCACATCCTCACACATGTATTATTTCTAGTCTTTTTGATGACAGCCATTCTAACAGGTGTGAGGTGGTATCTCATTGTGGTTTTGATTTGCATTTCCCTGGTGATTAGTGATGCTGAGCATCTTTTCATGTGTCTGTTGACCATCTGTATGTCTTCTCTAGAAAAAGTATTTAATCAAATCTTCTGCCTGTTTTTCAGTCAAATTTTTTTGTTTGTTTCTTTGTTGTTGAATTGTAAGTGTTCTTTATGTGTTTTGAATATTAACCCCTTCTCAGATATATTATTTGAAAATGTTTTCTTACATTCAATAGATTGCCTTTTCATTTTATTGATGGGTTTTTTTTGCTGTGCAGGCTTCCCTGGTGGCTCAGCTGGTAAAGAATCTGCCGAAGACTTGGGTTCGATCCCTGGGTTGAGGATATTCCCTGGAGAGGGGAATTACCCACTCCAGTATTCTGACCTGGAGAGTTCCGTGGCCTTTATAGTCCACGGGGACGCAAAGAGTCAGATGCGACTGAGCGACTTTCACTTTGCTCTGCAGAAACTTTTTAGTTTAATATAGTCCCACTTGTTTATTTTTGCTTTTGTTGCTTTTGCTTTTGGTGTTAAATCCAAGAAAATCATCACCAAGACTGATATCAGGCATCTTCTCCAGCTTTTTCAATAAGGGGCATAGCCTTTTCATTTTGCACTGAACCTCACAAATCATGCGGTCAGCCCTGACCTCCTAGGTGAACTTAATCAGGTGATCTTCCCTTCTGTGTTTCTTCATTTGTAAACTGGTGGCATCTTTACAGGGATGTTGTTAGGTTTAAATGATATAATTTAGCAATACAGGTTAGCTTGCTACACACCTGCCCCTCTTTTCCTTCTGTTTTCCTCTGCATACCCTGCCCTCCTCATTACTTGTCAGATTCATTTATCCATCAATTCCCAGGTGATTAATTGATTAATGAGTAAATCAATCAGTTATCTGGAGATTGATGGATAAATGGACAGGCTGATATAAAGAGAGAGAGAGGTGTTTCAGAGATAGAAATTGATAAACATATAGAGATTGGAAATATATATAGCTACATAGGCATATGTCAGTAGAGATGTGCAAAAACAGAGACATGTATAATTCATCATATTTTGTATGTAAGTAATTTTACTATTCGTGGACTTTTTAAATTTAACTTATGAAACTTCATTTGCACTCAGCCCAGCACTCAGCTCTCCTCATGAAATCTACTGAACGTGCATAGAGAAGGGAAAGAGCATTTGCACAGCACTCTTTACTCATCACCTGGGGTGTGAAGCCACCAGTTCTGGGTGCAGGAGGTGGGACATTGTATGCCTGGCTGCCCAGAGTGCAGAGTCTAGCCCTGCCAGAGCCCTGGTGGCCAGAACTAGGGGGTTCAGAACTTTGGCTTGGACCCTCCATGGGGCATAGTTTCAATGTGAGCATCTGTGGTCCTTCCTCCAGAGGCTGTGTGACATCCCAGCTAGAAAGAGAAGGTCAGAGTCTTTCTGTCTTTAGTACCGGTGCCCATCTCCTGGAAACACCACTGAGAGTCCTGAATGTCTCTCTACTGTGTTGCTGCGAGCTCAGCAAAAATACAACTTGGTTGAGTGCACATGCATCACCCTTGCGTGTGTGCTGTGCTAAGTCGCTTCAGTCGTGTCTGACTCTTTGTGACCCTATGGACTGTAGCCCACCAGGCTCCTCTGTCCATGGGATTCTCCAGGCAAGAATTCTGGAGTGGGTTGCCAGGCCCTCCTCCAGGGGATCTCCCCAGCCCAGGGATTGAACCTGAGTCTCCTCTGTCTCCTGCATTGGGAGGTGGGTTCTTTACCACTGTGCCACCTGGGAGGCCTGCATCACACCTATTACACGTCTGAAGTTAAATACAATCATGGAAAGAAGAACCCAGTCAAACTGCTGTTTTATGAAAAGATCCTTCAAGGCCATGAATTTCAGAAGAAAAGCCTGAGCTTGTCACTGCTTCTACAGCATGAAGCCCGGGACAGGTCACTTGCTATACCTTGTTTGGGTACCAAGAAATGCCAGAGAAAGGGATGCTGAAGCTGCAGTGAGACTCCAGAGCAGGTCTTCTTTGGAGGGTAGAATCCAGCCCATTGGTTGAGCAGTTTTCATCCGTCACAGTATTCTCTCGTGCACTTTGATCCCGGTGTCACACTTTTTCCTCTCAGTAAGCTGTCAGTAGTCAAAACGACAGATTTCGTCCTTGTTATAGGAGGAGCTGATGGGGAACCAAGGCTGGGGCTGAGGGTGCTCCCATCATGCTGGTGCTCAGGACCTTGTCCAAAGAAGCCCCCTGAGCTGGTGGGATGGGAGCCCACTATGATCCCTCGAAATCTGAAGTTGATTGGTTTTTGCTTCTTTCCACGCAGTGTGACAACGAAGACGACTACAGGGAGATCAAGAAGGCCCCGGGAGAGAGGGAGAGCTCCTCACGACTGACCACCTCTGCCAGCAGTGCTTTGCCCGCAAATCATTGCAGCATGAACATCAACAGGTACGTGCACTCCTGCAAAGGCAAGGGCTGGTGGGGGCATGCCTGGGCCTGAGAGGCACGTGTTTGCAGGGGGAGAGTCAGATTTTTTTTTTTTAATGATTTCTCTGCTCTGGGTCTCCAGACCAGGGTTCTTGGACTCCTTAATCAATAGAAATTGATAAGAGGCCAGAGGAGAAATTCAGCCAAGGCTTCCTTGGGGCTCAGGCTGCAGCTTGAAGGAGTGAGGAAAAAGTAACAGTTTCCCTTGCTCACTCTCTGATGGGGCCAAGCCCATTCCTTAAATGTGAGGAGGGAAGTTGTGGGTCCAGGGGCCGTGCCGGAGGGGGGACTTAGGTGGTCTGCCCACCCCCTTGGTGGTCTTGTGTGCATGGCGCATGCACAAGACCTGCTTTTGCTCCCAGTTCCTCAAAATTGGAAGTTGGGTTTTTGGTCTTTTTGTATCTTCTTCTTCGTAACTTGCTGCACCTGCACGTGCTCACAGTTGTTGTTAGTCCCTTATGCTGTGCTTAGTTGCCCAGTCGTGTGCGACTCTTAACGACCCCATGGACTGTAGCCCACCAGGGTATCTGTCCATGGGGACTTTCCAACCAAGAACACTGAAATGTGTTGCCATGCCCTCCTCCAGGATATCTTCTCAACCCAGGGATCGAACCCTGGTTCTGCATTGCAGGCAGATTCTTTACCATCTGAGCCGCCAGGGAAGCGCTTAATCCTCTATAATTGCTTTGTATTTTGTTGCTGTAAGAAACTTGTGTCCAGGGGCAAGCGCCGAAGCAGAGGATCCCAGGGTCCCAGCCTGTCTCTTACAGACCTGCTCCCCTTGGTTTAACCAAGGGTAGCTCAGCTGGTAAAGAATCCTCCTGCCCTGCAGGAGACCCTGGTTCAATTCCTAGGTTGGGAAGATCCCCTGGAGAAGGGGTAGGTCAGCCACTCCAGTATTCTTGGGCTGCCCCAGTAGCTCAGACAGTAAAGAATCCGCCTGCAATGCAGGAGACCTGGGTTTGATCCCTGAACTGGGAAGATCCCCTGGAGGAGGGCATGGCAACCTACTCCAGTATCCTTGCCTGGAGAATCCACATGGACAGAGGAGCCTGGCTGGCCACAGTCCAAGGGGTCGCAAAGAGTTGGACATGGCTGAGTGACTAAGCCCACACGCGAGGCTCACCAGCATGCCTGGGCGTGCACTCCTCGTCACAGCTCCAGGTGCACCAGCAGTGCTGCTTTGTAACGAAAGACCAGTTACCAGTTACAGAACGTTCTATCCTTTCAAAAAAACACACCCTTCACTCTGAAAATTTAAAAACTGAATTGTGCATGTGTGCTAAGTCACTTCAGCAATGTCCAACTCTGTGTGACCCATGGACTGTAGCCCACCAGGCTCCTCTGTCCATGGGATTTTCTAGGCAAGAATACTGGAGTGAATTGTCATGCCCTGCTCCGGGGGATCTCCCAACTCGGGGATCAAACCCAGATCTCTTAGGTCTCCTGAATTGGCGGGCAGGTTCTTTATCACTAGTGCCACCTGGGAGACCCAAAAAACTGAATTAAGAGTCATGAGAACACTAAGCTTATCACTCAGATGTAATAAGCAGACTGTTCATACAACACACCTAAAGATCCTGGCTATGGACTGAATTTGTGGTGATAGACACGATCGGGGTCTCCAAGGTGAAAGAGCCCCTCCCCACCCCTCCTCAAAGGGGTTCCAGAGGGACCTGCCTGGCAGTAACCCTGCTCCATGACAAACAGCTTCCTGGCAAAGCAAGGCCCCGCATATTTATTACAAGCGAGGAGCTCATCATCAGTCACAGAAGCTCTTTCCATTTAGGAACAGCACAGCTCAGAAACCACTTTCCCTCTGCTCAGACACTCTTCACTCTCCCCAACTGTGTACATAGGATTTTTAAGGGGAGATTAATGTTTCAGTGCAACACATAAAAATGTAAACTGAAAGGTTAGGGAAAGATGTAGAGCAGCACTAAAGCCCGGAGAGGAAATTAGAGAGCACAGGCGCCCGAGCACAGGCGCTGCAGGGTTAGAATCACCTTGGGGAGGAAGGCCTGGGGCTCTGGAAGGTCTGAGTGAGGAGGAGCAGCAAAGACAAGCTGGCCAAGCACACAGTCCTCTGTGCCCAGCAGATGGTGTCCCAAAACACTGGGGATGTGTGAATGGAGAAAATGTGGCTCCAAAGTGTCTTTTAAATGTGTGGTTGAGTTACACATGTGCTTCTTTGTTGATGCCTTAAATAACCTGTCTGCTGGCTCTCGTAACTGCTGTAATTGCTATAATTGCTAGTAGTGATGAGTCTAAATAATATTTGAAGATGTCTGTAACAACTGATATGACATGAAAATATCTGTGATTCCCACCGGTGACACAATCACAGGTATTGCTAGTAGTACACCTGCTAAACCACTCCCCTGGTTTCCTGCCTTCGTTCATCTTTAAAGGAAATGTTCAGTTTCAGTGAGAGGTTAATGACAATGGAGATGTAATTTCTTTTCAACGCAAGTTCGGGGACCCCAGGATAAAAGCAGAGGTCCTCAGTCTCCAGGGTTGAATGCCTAAAGATCTGAGATGGAGTTGATGTAATAATAATAGAAATAAAGTGCACAGTTAAATGTAATGCACTTGAATCATCCCAAAACCATCCCTGCTCCTGGTCCTGGCCCATGAAAAAATGGTCTTCCACAAAACTGGTCCGATGCCAAAAAGATTGGGGACCCCTGTTCTAGACCCTTTGCTTGGCAGAGCCTGCTGGCTATAGTTTCACTTATGTTAAGTAGGGACTCAATGCCACTATGAAAGAGCTTTGAATTTTTCTAGGAAAAGTGGTCTGTATATCTCTGAAATTGTGATTACCTCTGTCAAGCTGTACCGGTGTAATAAGACAATGCTATATATACGGTAATCGCATGTCCCAAAGACATGATCCCAAGAATGTTTCAAAATTACTTTGGTCAACTTCAATAGATAAACTTATGATGAAGAAGAAAAGATTGTATGTGCTTGACAATATTTAAGGTAATAATTTCCTTTCCTACAAGTGTTTAAAATCATGTAATACTGTAGGAACTTCCCTGGCAGTCCAGTGGTTAAGACTTCGCTTTCCCAATGCAGGGGGTGTGGATTCGTTCCCTGGTCGGGGAGCTAAGACCCCACATGCTTTGTGGCAGGAAAAAAACCCACAAAACAGAGCAATACTGTAATGAATTCAATAAAGACTTTTTAAATGGTCTACATCAAAAAATCTTTTAAAAAATAAAATAAAATCATATAGTGCATGGCTTAAAATTCAACATTCAAGAAACTAAGAGTTTGACATCTGGTCCCATCACTTCATGGCAAATAGATGGTTTAACAATGGAAACAGTGACAGATTTTATTTTCCTGGGCTCCAAAATCACTGCAGATGGTGACTGCAGCCATGAAATTAAAAGACAGTTGCTCCTTGGAAGAAAAGTTATGACCAACCTAGACAGCATATTAAAAAGCAGAGACATTACTTTGCCAACAAAGGTCTGTATAGTGAAAGCTATGGTTTTTTCAGTAGTCGTGTATGGATGTGAGAGTTGGACCATAAAGAAAGCTGAGCACCGAAGAATTGATGCTTTTGAATTGTGGTGCTAGAGAAGACTCTTGAGAGTCCCTTGGACCGCAAGATCAAAGCAGTCAATCCTAAAGGAAAGCGGTCCTGAATAGTCATCGGAAGGACTGATGCTGAAGCTGAAACTCCAATATTTTGGCCACCTGATGTAAAGAACTGACTCACTGGAAAAGACCCTGATGCTGGGAAAGATTGAAGGCAGGAGGACAAGGGGACGACAGAGGATGAGATGGTTGGATGGCATCACTGACTCAATGGACATGAGTTTGAGCAAGCTCTGGGAGTTAGTGATGGACAGGGAAGCCTGGCATGCTGCAGTCCATGGGACTGCAAAGAGTCAGACACGACTGAGCGATTGGACTGAACTGAGTGCATGAGTGCTAAGTCAATTCAGCCAGGTCCAACTCTTTGCAACCCCATGGACTGTAGCCCACCAGTCTCCTCTGTCCATGGAGATCTCCAGGTAGTAATACTGGAGTGGGTTGCCATTTTATCCTCCAGGGGATCTTCCCAACCTAGGAATCAAACCGGCGTCTCTTATGTCTCCAGCATTGGCAAGTGGATTCTTTACCACTATAGCACCACCTGAGTACTGTATGTAAAATAATAGAGACTTAGAAATAGGGTTTCTTTACTCATGTGTCAAGAAACCATTACGTTCAGACAATTAACATCCATCTTCAGCTTCAGCGTTTCATCCTCACTGGCTGAGCTACTTCTGATTCGCCCAAGGCAGTTTTCTAGAACACAGCTTCTCACTTCTCAGTTGTTGGATGCACAGTGCTTTTTAAACCAGAAAGCTGTCATCAGAAATTCTCTCCCTACACAAATGTGTTTGCATAGCATTAAGCATCTTGGTTTCTCATTTGTTCTAAAGGCCTACATTTGTAATTTCTACACTGTGACTACCAACTAAGGATATTGCTTAAAAAATAAGAAGTGACCTTAATGGCTTGTTTACAACAGCACATACAATGAAGAAGTCATAAATGCAGGAATGATGACTAACTCTTTGTCCGATGAATTTACCTTACATTAACTGACTCCACCAGGTGACTTCTAGAACCATCCCAAGTTAGCAATGATTGAGTTTATTTTGGGCTAATGTTTCTTCCTACCCTTTTTGTTTCAAAGTGAAGTAATAGAGAGAGCCCTATCCACATTACATACATTGTAAAGACCCAGATATAAGTAACTCCCTTCTGTGATGGTCCGCTGGGATGTATTCAGGCAGAGACAATAGTTTTGAAGGTAAAATAAGGAACTAGGAATCAGAAAACGTCATTTCTAATGACCGTTTCAGTTCTTTGTATTCTGATCAATGCCTGCTTGCCTAACAATTGGAAGGTGGCTTCATGCTTGATTATTCTGCAATTGTGTTATTCTCCGTGTAATAATTAGTATAAGCTCAGGTGTTAGCAAAAGTCCTTTTGGAAGTAGAGATCTCATGTATCATTTAATTGAGTTTCCCATTACCTGCTGCTTGCACTTGTTAGGAAAACAGTAAGTGGTTTGCTGTGTATTTTGAGATCCTTAGATGAAAAGCTTGGGAAATGAAAGTATTATTCTTAGTTGTTTAGCTCCAGAATTACTATTAATTTTGGGAGAATAAGTAAAGAAACAATGAAAAAATGTGTTTATTGTTTGTTACGGTCCTAATGCCATAAAATTGTTTCCTGGCATAATAATTCCCAGTAAATGTCTTCCTACCAGCAGGTTTTAAATGGGAGGTTTGGGTCATATATAAAACATTTTCCTTCCCCTGTGCTGAGTGTGTGACATTCCATTACTGTGACTTCCTTTCTCAGCTTGGCAATACCAATAAATAAAAATGAAAAAATGCTCCGGTCGCCCATCTCACCCCTCTCCGACGCATCTAAACACAAATTCTCCGGCGAGGACTTAACTTCCTCCAGCAGATCCAACAGCAACGGTCTGCTCACTTCCACCTCCTCCAACAAAAAGCATAAGGTGGAGAGCCAGCTGCAGACCCACGCCGCGGACCTCACGGTAGGTTGATGCCCTCCTGTCCCAGTTAACACAGGAATGAAACTGAGCACCCCGTACTCTTCCTGTAACCCAGCTCAGTCTAAACTCCAGCTCCAGATGCCACAAGGCAGGCCTGAATGTTGCTCTGGGAAGACCCAGCAAGAGCTGCCCTTTGCCTCTCGCACAGGCTGTGGCCGAAGACAAAGAGGCGGTATTTTAAGCCTCTTCTGCTTAGGAACCTCTTTGGAGGACCTCATTTTCCATTCTGAAAAGAAACAGCCCTAAAGTAACTCTCCCAGGACAAAGTAAATTGGAAGTCTAGGGCCACCCAGTCTTTACATTTGATATCTTTCTTGCCCTGGGGCAGAGTCAAGCCTGGGGTTGGAGCTCAAGGCCAAAGCTGCAGAGATGCCTGCCGCCCAAGGTCACCAAGGTGATGTCCAGTGTGAGACACTCTCTAAGAGTGGGCATCCCTGAACTGTGCATCCTCTGAGTACTTTATTTAATTTCAAACTCTCCCCACTGTGCTTCTCAAAACCAGCAGGGCTTCGTGAGGCAGGGAGAAATGAGACTTGGCAATAGGACTCTGCGAACAAACAGGGGAGGCAGCGTTTCCTGCTTTATCCGGTAAATCAAAGAGGCAAAAACAGTTGTTAAGGTCCAGCAAGAGCCTCAGTCTTAATGAACCATCAGGAAACTAAGCCTCTTAGGCACCCTCATCTGAGAGCAGTTCTCTTTAGTTCTAGGATACAAGAATCTGAGAAGATCGTTATTAGGAAAATCGGAAATAAAAAGCAAGCAATTCAAATTTTAAACCAAACACAACTTCTCTTTGCCTCTAGATCCTTCTATCACAAGCAACTATGATGTGCAGAGGGTCTTTAACCAATTACAGACTTTATTTAGACCTTCTTCCACTGAACAGGTGTTTATCAAGGAAGTACTTACTGTGTCCCAGGCACTCTGCTAAGCAGTAGAGGTGCATTGATGATCTAACAGATTCAGTCTCTGCCTGCAGGAAGCTTGCAGTCTAGCTGAGGAGAGCCACTTAGACCAGGGTTCACACACATCCATAATTTACTACTCTGCCTGCCAAAAAAGAAATGCCCAGAGTCCTAGAGGCTCTCATAACAAAGAGGCTTGATCCGCACATAAAATCAGCCCATACTTAAAGAAGCACTGGTGTCTAGTCCACTTTAATTACTTCAGAGGAATCCATTTGAATTTCCTAACCAAAGACAGGGTGTTTTATGATCCAAATGATCAGCACACAGTAGGTGCTCCCTAAATATCTGTATCTCCAGGAGAAAAAAAAAGGATGTTTAAATTCTTCCCCAGATAGAGAGTGTTCCTTTTTAAAACATATTTTAAATAATTTCTTGCAATACCCATCAGCCCTTCCTTTCCAGCACAGACAGCTGATGAGAACCAGTCTATGACCTGAACCTCTCGTGAGGGATGAACATGGCTCAGTGGTTCTGAGAGCTCAGGTCCTAGACCAGCAGTCTGAAACTTGTGCAGAATGCATGTTCTCAGGCCCTCCCCCAGACCTACTGAGACGGAGATGCTGGTGTGGCACTCAGCTGTCTGATGCGGTCAGTTTGGAGAACCGTGGGTCTAGCAACCGGCAAGAGTAGGAGCCTGAGTCCGAGCCCGCAGCCGGCACCCGCAGTAGCCGTCTGAGCTTCGGCCAGTTCAGGATCTGGATGTGCGAGAGCAAGACTAAGACCTCCCTGGTGATGTTGTCGTGGGGATGACATCTGACCACACACATGAAAGCTTCTGGCTTGAGACCTGAAATGCATGTATTTCTCTTTCTTAATCAAAACAAAAAGCACTATCACGTCTAACCTAGATCCCAAGCAATTCTAAGGGGTTACTCCTTCAGCCAGAGGGCCAGTTTCTCAAAGGTGGGTGTGTGTGTTTGTTGTCTAGAAAGCGGCTCACAACAATTCCGAAAGCATTCTCCACAAGTCACGGCCACAGACAGAGCCCTGGTCTCCAGGCGCCAACGGCCACCGGGACTGCAAGAGGCAGAAACTCATCTTCGATGATATGTAAGTGTGGAGTCTTGTTGATATGGGGAAGCCCAGATAAGTGGGAACAGGGAGATGGTTTATATGTGTATGTCTGTATTAGACACATATAAACCATAGTGTGGCCATTTCTGTCATGTGACCCAGTCAGTTAAATGTCACCCTCTCAAAGGAAATTGCTGAGTGCACCCCCTGCACCCTTGCAGGGGAGTGGTTTGAATGAAAGGAACCAGGGCTAGCACGGTTGTATCCAGGATGCCAGAAAACTAAGGCAAATGGCATCAAGGAGTCTTATATTTCTAAGCGCCTGCATTTGAGGTTGTATGCTACCAGAAAGAGGCGTTTCTGTCTTTGTAAACTGTAACAGGCAAAGAAAAATAGTGATTCACTCCTGAAAGCTTTCTGTTCTCTAAAATGCTGTAGTCTTTATAAAGGTGTAAATAATTCTTATACAGGAAAAAATATCCTGTCATCCATCCCCTCATCATAGTGCCAAAACCCAAGGATTTCATTCCCAGCATCAACTTAAGAGATGGAGAAACAAAAGAAGAAGATGAATAAATATAGCATCCTGGAAAGCTTGGGAGATGCCAAAAATGACACATGAGAAATGATAAAATAATACTGAAAATTATGTAGGCTCTTAGGGAAAAAAATATGTGTCAAGGACAAGCCTCCAGGGCAGGAGATATGGTTTCAAGAGTTTGGCTTGAATCCCATTGTCAACTTCAGCTGTTGAGCAAGCATACAGTTGTGTATCTGTGGGAGTCATGCCCTCAATTCCCCAGCAGGGAGCAGCAGGCAACAGTGAGAGACCCCCGTGCCCCCTGACTGCTGACCGTCCAGCTGAGCGGACAGACTGTAAACCACACGCCCTGCCCACAGTCACAAGCCAGAACGGTGCTAAATGTCCCTGAACCCCTGCTTCCTAATCAGAAAAAGTGAGTCATGACCCTGGTCTCCTGGCGGGTCCCCTGAGACCCAGTGAGATGGCCCCTTCTCAGTGTGACCCCCTGGAGAGTTGAAAGCTGTCTCTTTCACCCTCGTCTTCCTCCCAGCCTTCTGCCCCATCCTGTCTTTACCAAGAGTGTAGACAAGGTCCGCTGCTTCATGTCCGAGAAACAGGGGTACTGAGTTGTCTCCCTCAGGTCCTGCTTGGGCTTCATTAAACTAACAAGGAGATGGACTTCGGGTGTTGAGAGCCAGATCCAGCTTTTTTGTTTCTTCATTGCACACACTCCCAGATGACTGAGTTTAGCAAAGTGTAAGGGTGGCCCAGGAGAACGTGCGTTTTTCTCCTCTTCCTGTGATCACACCTGCACTCAACCCCACACATGCTCTCCCCTGACCCTCACCAGCTGCCCTTTCCCTCATCTCACTGCCCTGAGCAGCCAAAGAAGTGGTAATTAATCCCCCGGGGGAGGGGAGTGTAATCCAATTCGACAGTCAACTCCATATATAATTAGTGTTTGGTGGTGTAAATTGTTCAAAGGGAGCTTTAACCATTTATAAAAACAGGCAATTGGAATTGTATTTAATGACAGTGTGGAAATTTGCATTTGGAAGATGTAGGAATCTTTTGATTTTCATCTTAATTAAGGATGCTGTCCCTAATATTAAGAAGCAAATTGAAGATAAAGTAGTTAGTATACAGATGGGTCAGCCTCTGTATCCTTCAACTTGCAACTAAGTTCCTTGAGGAATGAAAAACAATTATACTTGTCTTATAAGTCAAGTCTCTATAAGAATGGAAATGTGGCTCTATACATCATTCAAACCAAGCTTGCTGAGGTTTTGGGCCCCAAACCTCCCCTATCCATCTCAAGAAGCTTGCTGAAGGGGAGGGATAGACTGAGAGTTTGGGGTTAGGAGATGCAAACTAGTGTATATAGGATGGATAAACAGCAAGATCTTTCTGTATAGCATAGGGAACCATATTCTCTATCCTGGGATAAACCATAGTGGAAAGGAGTATAAAGAGGAATATACATGTGTGCATAACTAGTCACCTTGCTCTCCAGCAGAAATTAGCATTGTAAATCAGCTGTATTCAACAAAAAATAAATTAAAAAAAGAATAATGCAGATATTATAATAGTGCAGATAGTGCAGTAAAGATCTGGTGATAGGAAACAAAAAAAGAGGAAGAGGAAGAAGTCATAGTCTAACAAAGTGAGCATACACACACATTCAACAGTAAGGTACCTGGAGCATCAAACATATAAAGGGTGTGGTGTTTAAACACACACATATGGGAAATTAACATGCAAGGCGTTTTCCAATGTATAGACCAGAAAGTTAAGTCTAAAACAGCAACAGCTAAATGGTCCTACTTGGACCCGCAGCTCCTTGGACTGTTTACAAGAGGAAATGTCTCTCAATCTGCTGGGACGGCGGCTAATGTAATTTTGTCCCTATCTGTATCAAACCAAGAGGCTGTTACCATGCATTCTTCCCATTAGCAAACTGTGTGATTTTTCTGGCTGACAGCTACAATAAAACTGTTTCTCCTTTTATGGATATAGATAGAATTAAAAAAAAGCCGTCTTACATATCCATCATATGGAGAGAGAGACATCTTCCAATTGCCATGTGTCCCAATTGATTTGAAATCCGTGACAGTAAAGAAACACGCAGCTCAAACAGCCACTCAACCACTGAACTGAGAAAATCGTGGGGAAATTCTTCAAGCTTGAAAAGCAACAACAGGCACTGTCTCTTCCTCGGAACAATAAAAATATGGGTCTTAAAGAGATCACTGGGCTAGGAAGTCACCTAAAAGTGTGTAAAGTGTTCAGCTGGTGTGTGCTGAGGTCCAGGGGCGGGAGTGGGGGTGTATGCTTCATTCATTCTGTTATTAATTCAGGGAAGATGGCAGTCCATGGACGGCCTCTGCAGGAAACTCCTCTGCGATCACGGTTTTCAGCCTCCTCCTGCTTTCTCTCCGCTCTGCATCGGCTTCAAGGACCATGACCTGGCTCCTGTCACTTTCCTTGACTTGTCCTCACTGGAGGTGTCAACAGGCATGGACAGAGGAGCCTGGTGGACTACCGTACATGTGGTTGCAGAGTCGGACGTGTGCGTGCGTGCTAAGTCACCTCAGTCGTGTCCAACTCTTTGCGGCCCTATGGACTGTAGCCCACCAGGCTCCTCTATCCATGGGATTCTCCAAACAAGAATACTGGAGTGGGTTGCCATGTCCTCCTCCAGGGCATCTTCCCAACTCAGGGATCAAACCCACATGTCTTATGTCTTCTACATTGGCAGGTGGGTTCTTTACCACTAGTGCCATCTGGGAAGCCCAACAGAGTCGGACAGGACTGAGCAACTAGGCACACACACAGCATTTTAAATATAGCAGTGTACACATATGGATCCCAAACGCCCTAATTATCCCTCTCCACATCCTGCCCTCTGGCAACCAGGAGTTCATTCTGTAAGTCCATGAGTCTCTGTTTTATAAGTCAGTTCATTTGTGTCATTTCTTTTTAGATTCCACATGTAAGGGATGTCATCCAATATTTCTCCTTCTCTATCTGACTATCTTCACTCAGTATGACAATGCTGCAAATGGCATTATTTCATTCATTTTAATGGACAGCTCTGGTTTTAAGGCGACGCTGGTGTGATTACCAAACTTTTGTTTCAAAAATCTGTTAGGAATTTATATCCATGAGTGACAGCACTTCATTCAACCCAAAGCCTAGAAACCGACCTTGTTAGTGCAAAGCCATGAGCTATAAATCGCTTGGTGTCATCACTAGTGACGGGAGAGTTCTTGGCGGTGGAAAATCTAGGGAACAGCTGTGTCATGAAGGCCTCAGTGCAGACGTCTGAGCACAGCTGACGGTGAAGCGCTTGGCCTCCGTTCGCCCGTGCCATATTGCTTTGCCGGGGAGCCAGAGAACCCCGGATGCCAACCTGCCTGCTGCTTCCAGAAGGATGTGCTGACTCTCTTGCCCACATTTCACAAGGAAGAGTCAGTCAAGATCATCACATTCAGCCAAGCCTCCAAACGCCCCATCTGTGCCCGTGGCATCAATTATAGGAGCCCGGCTACTGAATCCTCCAGACGCTGAGAAAAGACTCCCTCGCCACACGATGCTAAAGCCACGACCTGTGCCATGTGGCTGGCAGGTCAGGAAGACGGAGTTGGCACTTGTGATGTAATGATACTCAGCATTCTTATAGCTGGAAGGATTTTAATTTTATAGACGATGGAAGACTCCTGTGTGTGAAAGGTCAGGTGACTTATTCAAAGGACCCCAACTGAAATCCTTATGTAGGTGATATTAGATCAAGGCAAGGCACTCCTGTGGTGGGCTGGCCGTGACCATTCCCCTCCTGAGGGGCCCCTCTGCCTCCCATTGCTTCAAAGCTGGACCCCACCCTTCCTGATAATACCATTCCTGCGCCTTTCTTTCTTCATATGGAATTTTTTCCCTTATGAAATCCCTCTCAGCCAAGGTTTTTTTGTTTGTTTGTTTGTTTTTGGTCAAAACAGAGAGAAAGAAAGAACAAAAGGATTTGGTCAGAGGTTGGGAGGGCAAGAATGGTGGACAGGGCCTTTCAGATCATTCTGATTGAAATCTGAGCTCTCTGATCCTTTTAAGGGCTTTGTAAAATGATTTTATCTTACCCGTGACACCCGGAGAAGAACAGCAATCAAATTGATGAGTTTCCACTTACACAGAAAGTTGCTTATGATAGAATGACAAAAACCTGCACATTTAGCCTGCGTATCCTGGAAAGCATGTGTTATTTTTTAAGTGTGGCCAGGAGAGGAATCTCCTGTGAGAGCCTGTGACCTGTGGGAGAAACGATGAGCCATCGCTCGTGCTTCTGAGAAGCCAAGGATTTAGGGGTCCCAGCCAACATCAAGGGCATAGAAACAGAAGCTGCATTTGAATCCTTGTGCTTGAAAGTTAATGTGCTTAGTTGCTCAGTCATGTCGGACTCTTTGTGACCCCATGGACTGCAGCCCACCAAGTTCTTCTGTCCGTGAAATTCTCCAGGCAAGAA